GACAAAGGCCCAAAGTCCATTAAATGGGGAAAAGACAGTCTCTTTAACAAATGGTGCTGGCATAACTGGATATCCATCTGCAAAAAAATGAAGCAAGACCCAAACCTCACACCATGCACAAAAACTAACTCAAAATGGATCAAAGACCTAAATATAAAATCTGAAACGATAAAGATCATGAAGAAAAAATAGGGACAGTGCTAGGAGGGCTGATACATGGCGTAAACAGAATATAAAACATTACCAACAATGCAAAACACCAGAAGAGAAACTAGGTAACTGGGAGATCCTAAAAATCAAACACTTTTGGTCACCAAAAGACTTCACCAAAAGAGTCAAAAGACAACCTACAGATTGGGAAAAAAAATTTGACTACAACAAATCCAATCAGGGTCTAATCTCTAAAAGGTACAGACTACTGCAAAACCTCAACAACAAAAAGACAACCCAATTAAAAAATGGGCAAAGGCTATGTACAGGCACTTCACCAAAGGACACATTCAGGTAGCTACCAGATACCTGAGAAAATGTTCATGATCATTAGCCATTAGAGAAATGCAGATCAAAACTACAATGAGATACCATCTCACCCCAACAAGGCTAACACTAATCCAAAAAACACAAAATAATAAATGTTGGAGAGGTTGTGGAGAGACTGGAACACTTATACACTGTTGGTGGGAACGTAAAATAGTACAACCACTTTGGAAATTGATTTGGCGCTTCCTTAAAAAGCTAGAAATAGAAGTAGCGTATGATCCAGCAATCCAACTCCTTGGAATATATCCTAAAGAAATAAGAGCAGTCACATGAATAGATATATGCACACCCATGTTCATTGCAGCGCTGTTCATGACAGCAAAAAGATGGAAACAACCTAGGTGCCCATCAACTGACAAATTGATAAACAAATTATGGTATAGTCACACAATGGAATACTATGCAACAATAAAAAACAGCAATGAAGCCTTGAAACATAACATGGAGGAATCTGGAAGGCATTATGCTGAGTGAATTTAGTCAGTCGCAAAAGTACAAACATTGTATAAGATCACTATTAGAAGAACTCAAGAAAAGGTTTAAACACAGAAGAAAACATTCTTTGATGGTTACGAGGGTAAGGGGGGAGGGAGAGGAGTATTCACTAACTAGATAGTAGACAGGAATTAACTTCGGTGAAGGGAAGGACAGCACACACTGCAGGAGAAGTCAGCACAACTGGACTAAACCAAAAGCTAAGAAGTTTCCTGAATACAGCCAAATGCTTGGAGGGACAGAGTAGCAGTGGCGGGGGTCTGAGGACCATGGTTTCAGGGAACATCTAGGTCAATTGGCATAACAAAGTTATTAAGACAATGTTCTGCATCCCACTTTGGTGAGTGGCATCTGGGGTCTTAAAAGCTAGCGTGCGGCCATCAAAGATGCATCAATTGGTCCCAACCCGCCTGGAGCAAGGCGAATGAACAGCACCAAAGACACAGGAAAATAATAACCCAAGGACAGAAAGGGCCACATAAACCAGAGACTGCATCAGCCTGAGACCAGAAAAACTAGATGGTGCCCTGCTACCACCAGTGACCGCCCTGACAGGGAACACAACAGAGAGTCCCTCACGGGGCAGGAGAAAATTGGGGTAGAGAACTCAAATTCTAGTAAAAAGAACAGACTTAATTGTTTGACTGAAACTGGAGGAACCCCAGAAGACATGGCCTCCAGACTCTGTTAGCCCAAAACTAAAACCATTCCCAAGGCAAACTCTTCGGACGATGATTAGACTGGACTATAAGACATAAAATGATACTCGTGAAGAGTATACTTCTTAGCTCTAGTGGATCCATGAGACTAAATGGGCAGCTCCTGTCTGGAGACGAGATGAGAAGGCAGAGAGGGTCAGGAGCTGGCTGAATGGACATGGGAAATCTGAGGTAAAGGAGGAGTGTGCTGTCAAATTATAGGGGGAGAGCAACTAGGGTCACATAACAATGTGTGTATAAATTTTTGTGTGAGAAACTAACTTGAATCATAAACTTCCACTTAAAGCACAATAATTAATAAATAGATAAATAAAGTAGGCTTTGGAGTTAGCCCTCCTGGGTTCAGATTCCAGCTTTGCCCGTCATTAACTGTGACTGTGGAGAAATTGACCTCTGTGACTCCGTTTCCTCATCTATAAAGCAAGAAAGATAATAACTCCTACCTCTTGGTTGTTGCAAGGATTGAATGAGCACTTAGGACTAGGCCTAGCCCATTAAAAAAACAAACCCATTGCCATCGAGTCAATTCTGACTCATAGCGACCGACCCTATAGGACAGATTTGAACTGTCCCATAAGGTTTCCAGGGAGAGCCTGGTGGATTTGAACCACCAACCTTTTGGTTAGCAGCCAAAGTCTTAACCTGCTACGCCACCAGGGTTTCCGCCTGGCGCATGGTACCCAAAAAAAAATTGCTGTTGAGTCGATTGCAACTCTTAGTGACCCCGTAGGACAGAGTAGAACTGCCTCATAGGGTTTCCAATGCTATAAATCTTGACAGAAGCAAAGATTCTGCAGAGTGGCTGGTGGGTTTGAATTGCCAGCCTTTCGGTTAGCAGCCAAGCACTTAACCACTGTGCCACTAGGGCTCCTTTGGCCCGTAGTAAGCACCCAGTAAATACTAGCTTTTGTTGTTACTTAACAATTCTTTCATTCCAGATACCCATTGACAGCATGACCAATGAGATGGAGCAGAGAGTTGAGCCTCATAATGATTACTTCAGTACTCAGTTTCTGTTGAACTTTGCCATCCTCGGGACACACAGTATTGCAGTGGAATCTTCAGTGAAAGATGCCAATGGAATTGTGTGGAAGACTGGTCCCAGAACTACCATATTTGTAAAATCCCTGGAAGATCCTTACTCCCAGCAGATTCGCCTACAGCAGCAGCAAGCCCAGCAACCCTTGCAACAGCAGCAGCAACGAAATGCCTACACACGGTTTTAAGTACGTGATGAGTGTACAACAGACTTGAAAGGACTGACCAAACTGGCAGAAATACTTGCTTCTTCATGTGGATTAAGATATGAAAGTTATAATGTGGAGCCCACTTATTCATTGATTTTTATAATGTCATATCCTCGGAAAAAATTTTTTTAACTTAAAAATTCAGTTTGAGAAATAATTGGGTTATTAGCCAGAAAGATTTTTTTCCTTGTTCTTTTTTAAACCAAGTCCTTTTTCTCATATTGAACATTTTTGTTGCTTTATTGTTTTTTCTGTTTCTGAGCTTTTTCTCTTTCTTTCAAGAATATAGTCCCATATTTGGATCATTGAATTTGTAAATTTGACTGCTTCTTCACCAGAATACATCCTTTACTGCCTGACACAAACCTGAAATTCCCAGCTCGGCATTAGGAAGTTCTGACCAGTGGGCAAAAGGCTTATCCATGGTAGCGGAAACTGAGTCCTTCTGTGGACAGATGTGAAGGAGGCCCTGGAACATCCAGCCCTCTGCATTGTGAGAGCCTGCAGGCTCGCAGAATTGAGACCTGCTCCTGAGTAGTTCAGGGACTTACCTGTCTCTTCCTGTATGAAAGCAGTCTTATTTATAGTTTTACTATTGAATTGACCCAAAGGGCAGCAAGCAATTACATAGAAAGATTGGAGATTAATGATCTGTTGTTTTTTCTAATATGTGTGTGACTGTATAATCTAGACTTTTTACACTGTTTATAAAAGTGAAAAAAATCATTCACAGTTACTATCTTAATATTTTAAAAGGTTGGGGCAGATCTTTTCCTTTGATCTGGTTTGGTTTCTGCTCAGTGAGCCGTGTAACACGACATGATTGGTGAGAACAGTCTCTGTAACAACCTTGGTCAGTGGGGTGCTCAGGGACAGGAGTTTTCTGGTTAACCAGGAAACCCCTTTTTTCTTTCTATTTTACTAGTGGTTGGAAACCATTTTAAAATATAATTATGTACTTTCTTGCCTTAACACAATGTATGAGATACAATTTAGCCTTTCTCTGTTGATTTGGGATCACGTCATACTTTGGAGTCATGGTTTCCAAGCATCAGGGATCATAGGACTGCAGACTTCGATGATAATAGGCAGCTGGACACAGCATCTTCCAGATGCAGCTCCCAAGATGAAGCAGCGCTCATCCCTGGAAATTTCCTTCTTAAATAAACCTCAATTTCTTTGCTCATTTTTCATTTTTCTCTTCAAAGTTGACATTGATTCAAAGGAGGGATAGAGTTTAAAAGATACAGGGTTTTTTTTTTTTCTTGATATGTGGCCTTTAAGAGCGCGATGGGGTTGGCAACTCACGTTCCTCCAAGATCACTTGGCTTCATGAGCTATTGCCCCAGCTCAGCACACTGCTGGCCACAGCCAGAACACTGTCATAAAGGTGCAGGTGTCCGGTGTCTGCTGTGAACAGTGGCCCTTAGATGCAGCCCAGCTGTACACAGCACACGGTCTGCAGTCAGAACAGCATCTGGGTCCATAGGCCACAGGAAAAACTGCCAGAGTGACGTGGAGACGTGGCAGAGCTCCTTGCCCTCCTCCAGGCATGGAAAGAGCTGAATCAGAAAGCCTGGGTTCCACTGTTGGCTCTGATGAATCAGCTCTGTGATCTGGGGCAAGTCTCTTTATCTCTCTAATTTCCTTGTCTGTAAAATGACTGAATTAGACTAGATCTTGACTCCAGTCTGTAGTTTATTATCAAATGACTGAAAGGCTAAAAACCAAAAAAAAAAAAAAAGTTTCTTATATTGAGAAAAATCTTTTTGTTTGTTTGTAATTAAGTTTCTATTTTCAGAATTAAGTTTTACAATGTGGTTATCAGGTTTCTGGCAAGAGTTCTCCAGGAGAAGGAGAGTAAATCTTTCTATAAGCCACCAGTTCCCATTGAGACCTTCCCAAATTTTACTTTCTTATAAGATAGGCTCTTAATAGCTTGTCTTAGGCTGGGTTCTCTAGAGAAGCAAAACCAGTGAAGTGTACACACACACACACGTATATAGATATGCATATATATACGTATATATAAAGAGATTTATCTCAAGGAGATGGCACATGCAGTTGTAGAGGCTGGCAAGTTCCAAGTCCGTGGGTCAGGCGTCAGGCTGGAGGCTTCTCCTGACTCACGTAGCTTCAGGGGCTGACAAATCCAAGCTCTGCAGGTCAGATGGCAGGCTGCTGGCTTACAGCCTGCAGAGGCCGACAAGTCTAAGATCAGCAGGCAATACAGTCGGCAGCTGGCTCAAGTGCCAAGAAGCAGAGGTTAGATGATGACGAGCTGGATGCAGGATCCAGAGTGAGCAAACCTGTTTTGCCAGAATGTCCACGTAAATATTGGATGCAGGCCACGCCCCCAAAGAAACTCCCCTTACAAGTGATTAGCTGTTCATATCATGGAGGATGACTACATCATTACATAGCTACCAAACCACTGAGAGTCATGGCCCAGCCACACTGACATACAACCTTAGCCAACGACTCCATGTGTTACAAAGTAGAACTGCTCCGTAGCAGTTTTTTTTTTTTTTTTGAGAACATACACCACTTCAATTTCTACACGCACAGTTCAATGACATTGATTACCTTCTTCAAGTCGTGCAACCATTCTCACCCTCTTGGCTGTAATCTTTATGGAAGCAGATTGCCAGGCCATTCTGTCGTGCCACTGGATGAGTTTGAACCGCCAACCCTCCAGTTAGCAGCTGAGTGCAAACCATCGGTGCCACATGAGAACTTCAGATTGGAAAGGAATTGTTAAAAACAAACCCAGGTAGTTGAGAGTATGAAAATAACCATCAAGCAAAAAGATTAAATATTTTATTTCAGTGTGTTCATTAGCTCCAGGATGAGAACTCTGTCTGATTTTATGTTTGGTATAATATCATTTTTGGCATCCACTGTTAAACAGTTATTTGAAGTGGGGAAAGACTATGTTTATAATTTCAACACCAGACTAATGAATGAAGAAAAAATACTCAAGAAAGACATGCACACTGATCATGAAGTGAGCATGCTGCCTAAATTTAGAACTACGGATAAAAAAGAACACTAGCTGATCGAATCTAGGAAGACAGGACTAGTTTTTCTCTGCTTAGTGACTGCAGGCGAGCATGGTAGCCAAGAACACAGCCTCTGGAGCCACACAGGTTCAAATCCCAGCTCTGCCAAACTTTGTGGCCTTGGACAATTACTTAATCTCTATGACTCAGTCTCCTCATTTCTGAAACAGGGAAGCATAATAGTACTTCATAGGGTAGGTGTGAGGATTAAATGAATCAGTATACAGTCAGTATATCTAAAGCACTTAGAACATGCCTGGCACATAGTAAGCAAATCATGTGTTTCCTATTATTATCACTACTACTATTATCCCCCCAGTCTTATTTTTCTTTGTTAAATCAGTTCTTAATCTTACCACTTTATTCAGAATAAAGGTTACCTTTTCTCTGCTACTAAACACACATTTAAGCTCTCTTCCCTTATATTCATTTTGGGTACCGAGTAATAAAATAATGTTGACCTAAACAAAATGGAGGGTCTGCCTGCTATAGTGCTGTATCCCTGGTGGCGCAGTGGTTGAGAGCTTGGCTGCTCACCAAAAGGTCGGCAGTTCAGAATCACCAGCCGCTCCTTGGAAACCCTGTGGGGCAGTTCTGCTCTGTCCTGTAGGGTGACTATGAGTTAGAAGTGACTCAAGGGTAATGGGTTTGTTTTGTACTGCTGTAAATTCTACTTAAAATATTTCAAGAAAAACATACCAAGAAAATGGTGTGAAATACTTTCATAAGCTGTTGATCACCATGGTGACAGCAATAGCTGACTATTTAGAAATTCAAGTACTGTTGTATTCCAGCTTAAATTAAGGGATCTTCTGATGACCTTCCTAGCTGAAGCCAACCAGGATGGCAGGGAATTTGCAACGGGAGGTGATAAACCACTTTTCACGTTAAGATATCATCCAGAGAAAAACCAACCAATCCAACCAGATCCTCAGACTAGGGTCCCAGAGAAGTCAGTTTAAATTCCATTTACAAGACTGACTTGCCATGGGCCCTCAGATGGGTCACCTGATCTTTCTGGGCCAGTATCTGCGAGCAGTGTGTTAAGGATAAATAACCCTGCCGCTTGGTATGTAGAGTTTACATGGCTCCGTCCAGTAGAGCTTACTGTGACTATGACAGTGTTCAAATCTGCACCACCCAGTACGGCCACCAGCCACATGTAGTTACTGAGTACCTGAAACGTGGCTGATGTGACTGAGGAACTAGATCTTTTATTTTAATTCATTGACATTCAGAAAGCCTCATGTGGCTACTGCCTCTAGAATTGGTTGATGCAGGGAGTGAGAAATGAAGAAATGAGGGCTCAGTATTAACCCATTGCCGTCGAGTGGATTCTGACACATAGCAACCCTATAGGACAGAGTAGAACTGCCCCACAGGGTTTCCAAAGCTGTAATCTTTACGGGGAGCCCTGGTGGGCCAAAGATCAAGAGCTCAGCTTCTAACCAAAAAGGTCAACAGTTCAAATCCACCAGCCGCTCCTTGGAAACACTGTGGCGCAGTTCTACTCTATCCTGTAGAGTCTCTGTGAGTCTGAATCGACTTGATGGCAACAGATTTGGGTTTTTTTGTTTAATATTTACGGAAGCAGACTGCCACATCTTTCTTCTGAGGAGCGGCTGGTGGGTTCAAACTGCTGACCTTTCAGTTAGCAGCTGAGAACTTGACCACCGTGCCACCAGCGCTCCTTCACTATTACCTTACCAAAACAAAAAAAACACCAAACCCATTATTACCTCAGGACCTAGATAAACCTTAAATAGATTTCTAGATAAGAGCTCAGTCTACACTGAGTTTTTTGAGGCACCAAAGATTTCAGGTGGAAGAGTGGGTAGATGACAAGGAGGTGGTCAGAGTTAGTGTGTTTGCTTTGCCTATGCTAACACAAGGCTCCGTTGCTCAACACCCAGCTCTGTTCTTTCCACAGCGCTCCTCTGGGTTTAGCCTTTATCAGTTACACACACATTGAACGTATGATGGTATGTAGTAAGAATTCCAAAGTCTGGTGAATTCACTTGGACTTCTCCCACCAGTACTCCAGCAGGAGGTTGTGGGCTTCCTTTCCACTTCTCACCTAAGACCACAAGACCTTTCACACCAGGCGCTGTATATTTTATTGGCTCGGCAGGAGCCAGTCCTTCCTGTAGTATCTCCCAGTCTGAAGCAGTCATTCCATAGGCAGTGTGATTTTGAAATGTAATTGAGATTTAAACAGAGCAAGTCAGGTTTTTCTCCTTAAATGACACCAAGACCTGGAGCGGTTGATTACTGCATCTTAGTGAAGAATGCTGAATGTGGTCAGTTTACTTTTTTCAAATCTACTTCAGTTACAAAACACGTTTGGTCTGTATCTTTTTCCTCATCCTGCTTACTTGCGAAGCTCTCCTAGCGCAGTTCTCTCCTGCACAGTCAGTTTTGTTGCGTAAGAAGTAATTGCCCTTGTTCATTATTCAGGTCTGGTTAAAGACTGAAATTTGGTGAAATGAGTTTGGGGAATGTCTTCCTTACAGACCACGTCTACAAGTCTAGCTTCTGTATACTGATATCTAGCTGACAAACTAAGACCAAAAATATTCTTGTTATTGTTTCCAGGTAAGTTTTTAAACTAAAATTATAAAGATGGGGTAATACCAAATGAATTAGAACAATCGGGAACATGAACACCTACCAAATACCCAAAAAGTCAGTATGGGTTAAAGAAAGTCAGGTTGTATGCATACAAGAAATATTCTCTACCTCGCCTTTCTTTGATTTTCTTGGATAATTTGTGGGTTTTGATGAAGCTTATTTGTAGCTGTGAGTCAAAAATGTTTAAAATAGGAGATTAGGCCAAATAGAGCTGAATTAGACTGAGGGATTATGTCAAAATGTCAGTGTCTAGTTCTCCTGGTTTCCAAGACCATGGAAAATGAAAACAGGTGGCGCTGCCTCAAGTTTTCGCCTGATTGCCAGCAGTGGAGCTAATGATGCTTTCTGCTTATGTGTCGTCTCACGCTGACAGCATGAAATTCTAGTGAGATGAGCAAAGTGACGAATTTTAACACTACGTCCCCTGCCTTGCTTTCCCTTCCCCGTCCTCACCCACCAGCAGGCAGACATCATGCGGCAAGGAGGGTCAGATTTGAAGTGTCCGCACTTGACAGGAGGAATCATGAAA